ATTATCTAGAAAAAAAAAAAAGTCACAATTCTTTATTAGACAAATGAGCCAAACTAGGGGTCTTGAGTTATTCATTTACACATTTTCTTGGTAGGAACTTAACACTATCATGGCTGGCTTGTTTGTTTAATGGCATACCAACACCTTTATGGATCATTTAATGCTGAAATTTAATTTTCTTTAGAGCTGAAGAAATATTTTTTCTTTTTACAAAAATCTATTCCAATTTAAAAAAAAAAAAAAATCAAAAAAAAAAAAATCTATACTTTCATTTTCTGATCCCAGCTTGGTGTTCACTATCTGACCATAGCTGGGACCCTAACAGGTGCTGCCACCCCCAGTTAGACTTTTGCTTAAGCACAGATTTTTTTTTTTTGGTTAAATCAATTTCATCCCAAGCAAGTATTAAAGCCACTAAGATACAAAGGGTTAGTGGATGTTGAAGAATTAAGAACAAAACCATTAATAGTGAGAGGAAAGAGAAAAGGTAATCAGGAAGAGAGTAGATAGCGATTGACATTGGATTTCAATTTTTGAAGATTAAAAGATGGCTGGAAAGCATGGCACCAACTGCAGTTAAGAGGTGGTTCCACTCTTCTCAAAACTCCCTGATCAGAGACCTCACTGCTTGATGTAGTTTATCATCATACCAGGAACAAACTCTAGAATGGTAACTGTTACCAAACAGAACCTATAAAGAAGCTTAGAGAAGGAACATTTTTTTTTTTTTAAACTATGAAAGACACCAAAGAAGTATACAAGATTAATCTCATCTTATAATTAGGATAATCATAAATATATATATATATATATTTTTTTTTTTTTTTAATTACCCTTTGACTATACTTAGGTTTAATCTAACATTTCCACTAAATAAAAAAACAAGGAGACCGTCCAGAAGAGTTGCAAGAGATTACGAGGTCTTCTGGAGGCCATACTACTGTACTGTACTGATGCGGCATTCACCCTGGGCGGATTGAGCCGGCTTCTTCCTGTTATGAGAAGAAGATTCTTGTGATAAATTACAGAAGTAGGGTACCCAGGCCTACTCGGATAACGTTCTTGCTTGCCATGGGGTTCCCACAGACGCAGAGACAGGAGCGACCAGAAGCCGCCGGTTACCGATGCAGACGCTCTTTGGATTTTCACCAGAGCCCTTGTTAGTCGGCGTGTGTGTCAGACCTGTCCGCCTTGGGTGGCCCTACCAGGAACGAAGTTCCAGGCGGCATAGCTCTGACACTACGTTTACACCCCCCACCAACTGTGAGGTAAGGGTTGGACTTTGGGGGGCTTACAGTACCAGGTGTTCCCAAGCGGTCCCCCATCTAAGTACTGACCTGGCTCTACGATGCTTAACTTCGGTGATCGTACGAGAACCGGTGTTTCAGTGTGATTTGACCGTAAGCCTGGAGGCTTCTGGAGGCCATGGTTAAAACCAATGGCAATTTTATAATTTTATCAAAATAATTTACTCTTTAGTATTTCTAGATATTTTTTGTCTAATTTTAGTAAATATATCTGTTAAAATGAGATGTCAATTTTATTTTCATTTTGGCATCATTTAGACTACAATTTATTCATCGTACCCAGTATATTTGTATGGAGATGTAAACATAAGCGTTACTTATCATTATACACCAAGGGAAAACACTGGAATTGTAAGAACAGTAAGTTTTTAAATTTCTGGCATCCGATGTGTCTAGACTCGACTCGGTTGATCTCAGTCAATTTCCCCACACTTCTTTTAATTGTTGATTTTCTTTAAATATCCCACATTGTAATAAATGCAAATATGTCAAGAAAAATAAATGTTCTAAGAACTTGATTCAGAAATCAGTGCACTTTCTAGACATTTTTCACTTAGTAAATTACTTTCTCTTCGAGTTAAAACAGATTTATTAAGTTGAAATTATAGTTAAACTCATGACAAATGAGTAATGCATTGAGTATGTTCTGTAAAAGATACTTCTGCTCATATAATCTTTTATTTAAATTAACTTGAAGTCACACCTTTGTAAATTTTATGGCTACTATTACATGTCAGTGTAAATTCCTGATTATGGTTTTCAGTTTATTTTTTGTATGAAGTCTTGATTTATTTTCAATTTAGGTAAATTCTTTTGTCTAACATTATGCGCGATATACATAAATTTAGGCAAAAAAAAAAAAAAAAAAAGAGACACACACACACACGGGGAGAAAGAAGGAGACACACACACGGGGAGAAAGAAGGAGACACACACACGGGGAGAAAGAAGAAGAGACACACGGGGAGAAAGAAGAAGAGACACACGGGGAGAAAGAAGGAGAGACACACACACACACGGGGAGAAAGAAGGAGACACACACACGGGGTGTTTTTAACTCAAATGTTTATGCCTTTCCTAAGGGCATTTGGGTGAAAGTGAATGCAACAGATTAGGCTGCAATTTGAACTTTGGTTGTTGATTTCACCTCCCACCCCATAATTATTGTTCTACCCACATATTCGTATAAGTTAGGATGGGAGGGGGGAAAGGAACCTACCTCTCTCCCTCCCACACTCAATAGGGGTAGATAAGTTTGCCTATTGCCCGGTTCAGACTCCTATCTACTCTTTTGAACAGAAATACAGGTTTATCCCTTGTTTCCTGTTTAGGATTGGGTTTCCGGTTCCTTCTAAATTCCACTTCAACTTTATACTTCTAACGTCTCTGCCTAAACTCTGAAATGTTATTTATTTTCTTCCTTCAGTAGGAGTAGATAGGTTTTTTGAACAGGAGTAGAGGTTTATCCCTTGTGTCTTGTTTAGGATTGGGTTTCCGGTTCCTTCTAAATTCCACTTCAACTATGCTTCCAATGTCTACGTCTGAACTCTGAAATGTTATTGAGTAATTATTATTAAGATTAAATTCACTAAGCATTCTTGTTTCACTATGTCTACTTCAACTCTATACTTTTAACATCTCCAACTGAACTCGGAAACATCATTCCCTAATTAAATCCTGACTGATTCAAGTCTACAATTTTATATTTCCTGCATAACTCAAAGAATTTCACTTGTTCTTTCTCACACTAAGCCCACACAGGAACCCTCTACCTTGAGTAAGTCTTGGGCCTTGCATTGGGTGAAAAAAAAAAAAAAAAAAAAAAAAAAAATATATATATATATATATATATATATATATATATATATATATATACCAAAATTAAGTCCAAATGATCTGTAAACAGTGGTGCCAGTCATTGTTAATTTGGTAGAATGTGCCAATATTGTGAGCGGCGGTGACGTGTCTTTGGATTTCTTCCAATTCTTCTTAATCAAATGAGAATCACAATAGACAGTGCTAATGTATCAAGAGAGGAAAATAAATAAAATAAAAATGTTTAAGCTGATACTAATTAAGACCCTATTAATTAAGATGACTTTAGGTAATTGACAAATACTGAATCATTGTCAGAAAGTTACAGGTTGGTCTGGAAACATTCCAATTTGGAAAATTTTGGTTACCACTAAAATAATTACAGACCCTCCTCCAATCCATGTGCACACCTGGACTTGTATTTTTTTTAACATTATTCTATATATATATATATATATATATATATATATATATAACAAATGTGAAAAAGTATCCATTTTTATGGGTTATCAACTCTTTGCAGGTTATTTAAAGCCAGAAAAATATTTTTACATTCCAAGAAGTTTTTGGAGATAATGATTCACTAATAAAAGTCCTACTAATTAACCTATAGCTGGAGAGAGAAGAGATGGACTCTAACTTTCCCCAAGGGTATTTGTGTTCAAGTGAATATGATGAATCCAGCTGAAATAGGAACAGACTTCCAGTTCTGAATAGTTATCCATTAAACTAACCCCTCCAGCCAAGCTTACAGCACCTGGTATTCCCAAGCGGTCAGCCATCTAGATACTGACCAGGATCTACATTGCTTAACTTCGGTGATCCTATGGCCGTAAGCTCTCTATATCACTCGCACATCCAAGCTTACAGCACCTGGTACTCCCAAGCGGTCACCCATCTCGATACTGGCCAAGATCTACATTGCTTAACTTCGGTGATCCTATGGCCGTAAGCTCTCTATATCACCCGCACATCCAAGCTTACAGCACCTGGTATTCCCAAGTGCTCACTCATCTAGATACTGACCAGGCTCAAAATTGCTTAACTTTTTATTTTTCACCCCAAGAAAGCCACTAATATACAAGGATTTTACAGCATGTGGAAGAATTAGGAACAGAAACATTACTAATGAGCAGGAAGAGGAAAGAGTAATCAGGAGGACAGTTGATAGCAATTGACATTGTATTTCAATTTTTGAAGTTTAAAAGTTGTACAAGCAAGAAGTGCGAGAAAAGAAACTGTTAGCATAGAACTTATGGTTACATCGAACCAACTCAACTGTCTATTGACGAGACCTCGTCATCAGTCTAGTACTGCGCTTATATTGATAAAGTCTAAGTACCATAGCAAAGAGCTCATCTGAACAATTACCATCAAAGTATTTATAAAAAAAAAGGTACAGAGAGGCAACCTGGTGGAAAAGTGACTGAGGTCGAGATGCTAGATCAGGATCAGTAATATTGCTGATTCTTGATTTTTTATCAAAGAGATCTTGATAAATAACAGAAGCACTGGACCATATTCTAGACATGGATGAAATGGTAGACTTATAGATATGCAAGAAAAAAAA